TATTTACATGATGTGAAGTGAATCCAACTATTATTTGCAAGAGATAATAAAGAGCTGATTAATACCATCTTTAGCAAGGACATTGAAAACTTCCTCATCCAGAAAGACAATGATTAACAGGGTAAATTTAACCAATGAGGTGCCGTGTTTTTTAAAAAAAGAGTCAAATGATAATAACAATTAATAATAAGCTTCAAAGCAATTTTCCCCAAAATGTAAAATTCAAGAACTAAAATTCAAGAATGTTCAGTTTCCTACATCTAACAAAATGAAATATTTTACCTTGTGCATCACGCTATGCAAATATATAAAAGCTCCCACACACATAATTTTTAGTGTGTAAGTCTCATATGAAGGCAGATTTTTGTGGTAATTTTTCATCTTTTTCTTTGGTAAGAAATGGAAATTATCAAAACATCCTATGGTCATTTTTTTCCTTTCAGTTTCTAATTATTTTCTAATTATTAAAATAATACGTTTTTTCATAAAGTACATGTAAGTGTAAAAGAACAGGAATAAAATTACCCATTAATATCTTGCCATATTTTATTTTTAAGTTCTTTATATAACTGAAATCTAGTATATAAATTTAGTATCTTGACATTTTTCCACTTACCATCTTTGAGAATATATTTAGACCTGTTTCTGATTGCTTTCTCATTATATATCCCTAGAAGAATAAATAGGGTGTAAACACTTGAAAGATTTAAAAGTATACAGACAAATTGCTTTCCAGAAATTTTGTACCCATTTGATAAGGGTGCTCATTCTGTTTCACTCTGCTTAGCACTTGATTTAAAAAAAAATTGTTCTCTGCTAATCTAAAAGACAAAAATGTAGTTTTCTTTTTGTTTTAATTTGCATTTCTTTGAGTCCTAGTGAGGTCATTAATATTTACTGGATTGTTATATTTTTATTATGTGAATGGAAGATTCACGCCCTTTGCCTGTTTACCTCCCAAGGTCTTGCTGCTTTTAAAAAAATCACTTTGTATGAGTTATTAATAAATTAAAATTATATACCTGTCTATCATGCTTCTTGCAAATACCAGTTTCTTCATTCTAAGTTACACTGATGGGAAGTTGAACTGATGAGAAAACATTACTTTTATAACAACTTTTTAAAAAAAGAAAATTAAAAAAAGAAATATTCATAAGCTGTTGATTATAAGACATAGATCTTAGCGATGTTAAAATGCATATAATGCTACAATATTAAAATATGAAGAATGTTAAAATGTAGAGTTGGCTCTGAATAGATACAGCATGATTTTATTATGGATTCTTATAATTGATTGGATCATGTGATAAGTATTGCTACTAAAGACAGTAATACGACCCAATATCTAAAAGTGTACCCAGTTTGATAAAATGCATGAATTTTAATATAGCTCATAAGATGTTGAATCAGTGGCAGTTACTTGACCTTGGATCATAAATTACTCTATTTAGTTGATACGTGCTGCTTGATGATGTAGTAATTGATGGGCAAGAATTCTGTTGTGAATGTTAATGCCATGTGTTGAGTTATGTTGTGCTAGTTCATTCTAGTTATTATCAGGAAACTTACACAGATCTATCTATACCTATGCCCATATATCTATACATGTGTGCGTCTATCACTCTATCTATCTATCTATCCTAAGTGTGTGTGTTTTTGTGTATGAAATGAGTCATTAATGTTGAATGTTTAACATCTACAAAAGCTGCCATCACAAGGCCACTTTTCCAGAACTCTTTTCACATTCATTGTCTATCAAGAATCATAGAAAGGCCTAGAAAATGTGATCATTTTGAAACATGAGGATTTATTGACCTGGAGCTATGTATATGTAACTTGTTACAGTGGAACAAGCTCAATTGGGTTTCTCTTATCGGATAAAAAAGTATTTCTTGTATCTAAAGCCTGAATGTCGTACTGTAATTATTCCTCCTTACTATTCACTAGTCCAGGGATATTTTGTAACCCCTCACAATAACAATAAACACAGCTATCAACTGAGGGTATTAATGTGCTAACCACTTCAGAAATTTTGTGAAGAAAGAATAGTTCACATGGAACCAATAGATTGACTTCAACTTATTTGTGTATTCATTCCAACATTTTTTTGAGCACCTTCTGTGTGCCAGGCACTGTTCTATGTACTGGGACAAGCAAAAAAGACAAGGTCCCTGATTTCATGGTATTTACAATGCGATGGGTTTGGGGTGAGGAACAGATAATAAACAAGTGAACAAATAAGAAAATGCCAGAATGTGAATAAGAGCCATGAAGAATATAAAAATATAAAAAATAAAGATATGTGGTAGTGACTGGTGGGGATGCTACTTTAGTCAGGATTGCCAGGCAAGACCTGTCTAAGTAAATGTGTACTGATACGGTGCCCAGAACGATTCGCTCTTGAGTTCAGAGCTCATCAGCACCTGCCACTATATAATAAAGTTTTCTCTCTATGACCACAAGACAATGGTTTGTATTCATTGAAGTCTGTTGGTGTTGTATTAAAAGTAGCTTTATGCAACTCGTCTGTAATGTAAGCGTTTATAATTAGGTATAAATATGATTCAAAATGTAAGATAACAGTTGGTTTTAGGCAATACAATTTAAAATAGTTAAAAGATACCTCATACACAACCAGTCTGGCTGACTTCCATGAGAACAACTATCTCAGGTAGCCCCTTAAAACAAAAGACTGTGGTTATTTTTCCAGGGCAGTCGCTGACTGAGGACTGCTAATGGAAAAACTGTTTCTCTATGTCTGAATGAGTAAACTCAGTTCCTTAGGATCCAATGATTGCCAAAGCAAAGCTAATTTAATCCCTACATCCTTGTGCTCCTTCTCTTGGAATGATGGGAAAATGTAACATTTGCTCCCCTGCTGGTCTAGGAACCCTCCTTTTCTTCCCCTTTACCATGGGTCTAGGCACGGTGGGAGAGGACAATAATTCATGCTTTTGTTTTGCACATTTTCTGAGTACAAGTCATTCTACTTTTAGTTAGGTTTTTAAAATTAGTCTGTAATTAGTCAACATAACTCAGTCTCACCTACCTCACTCTTAATCCAGTCCTGCTGGATCTTGTCTTTGTTTAAAATTTTGATACTTTGTTCAGTATGGATTTTTTGCATTCACTTGAAGTCTCAAAATACTGTATTAAAATATTATTTGTCAGCAGGGCGCGGTGGCTCACACCTGTAATCCCAGCACTTTGGGAGGCCGAGGCGGGTGGATCACGAGGTCAGGAGACCATCCCAGCTGACATGGTGAAACCCCGTCTCTACTAAAAATATAAAAAATTAGCCAGACGTGGTGGCGGGTGCCTGTGATCGCAGTTACTTGGGAGGCTGAGGCAGGAGAATGACGTGAACCTGGGAGGTGGAGCTTGCAGTGAGCTGAGATCAGGCCACTGCACTCCAGCCTAGGAGACAGAGCGAGACTCCGTCTCAAACATACATACATACATACATAAAATATTATTTGTCTTGATCACTGATATCTTTGGCACCCCCTTAAATTTTGCCTGACTTATGTCACACTAGTCCCACTAGTCTTGAATGATATTAGAGCAGAGTCCACCAATTGACCACATTGAACTGTGAGAAACAAATGTTTATTGTGCTAAGCCACTGAGATATGAGTGCACTTGCTATAGCAGCTGATGTCACTTACCCTAAGGAATGCAACTCATTAATCTCTCCTGAAATATTACTCAGTGGATATTTCTTAAGCTTTTCCTTTATGTTGTAAAGACTTAAATCTATGAATTTTCCAAAACTTCTTTTGTGGATAACTCAGGAGGCAAGCCAACAATTAGCTTCTATTACCATTTTGGAATCCATTAAAAACCTTATATATCTCCCATTCTAAAAGCATACATACACAGTTCTTGAGAAGCAGGATCACAGAGGGATTATATGTGCAGACTATGGAGTCAGATATTCCACATCTGAATTTCAGTTCGGCAGAATGTGAAATCTTACACTAGATACTAACTTCCCTAAACCTCAATTACTTCTTCTACAAAGATGGGGCACATAATAATACCTACTATTATGTGAGGAATAAATGAGATAAAACTTAGTATAAAGTAAGCACATGATCACTATTAGCAGTTACCGTTCTAATTTTCTTTTGGTTGGAGCCACTTCTTACCTCTCTCCCTCTGTTATTTGATGGAAATTTGAATTGGGAGGATAATTTTCAATCAAAATTACTAGATTTCTTTTTTCAGAATCATTGATGTTAAATGGAAATTTGAACTGCATATTAAACAAGGTGTACTCTGAAGAAGTCCTGTGGCAATCCTGTAGCTGGAGAAGGAAGTAATACAGACAGGAAAGGTGACAGGAGCCTTTTGGACTGCCACATCCAAAAACTTAAGTGCCAAGACTGGCTCCAGAGAGCCTGGTCTCCCACCCATATGGGAGCCATCAGCAGGGGAATTGTAAATAAGGATGGAGTCTCCTCACCCATTGGATTAAATTCAAAATTTGCAATGGCAGTGAGAATTAAGATATCTTTGCCAAAAAGATATCAAGAGAAACAATAGATGTTGGAATTTTCTTTTGAAGTCAGTTTCCCAAAGGGAATTTTTTTTTCCTTGTTTGTTACCTGTAAGTGTCTCAATTCACAGAAAGGATTAATAACACAAAGAAAAATGTTACAACATTCCCCAATGTCTTAATGACTATTTATAGGAAAGATTCTCCTTTGGCTGATGAGAGAAGATGAGACTGGATAAGAGAATTACTTTTTGTTTCAATTTACAGAAAAATATTTGCCTCCTGGATTATAGACTCATGTAAGCTTAAAGCCAAGAGGGACCCTAGAAATCACAAAATCACTCAAACATTAATTTATTCCTTTTTTGTTGTTGCAAAAGTGAAGGCCTCAAAAGGAAGTAGAAGCCAGGTCCCCTGGTTCTTGTCTAATGTTTATTCATTATAATATGATCTTTTGTCTGATGTGTTAGTCAGTTGTTTTTAAAGTTCTACAGTTATACAAAAGCCTTCCAATGACCTTCATGCCATCCAGACTTTGCAGCAGGACAGTGATATAATCATCTTAGTTGTAAGTTCTAATTCTTTTTATACTTAAAATATTTAAAGTGGAAGGGATCAAGCAAGGGTTTCAAAATTAATACCAATATATATTCAAAAGGACGAGCAATAAAAGTTGCTTAGGGCTGGGACTCACATTCATCTGCTTTTGTTATTTAGAGCCTCAGATAAAATGATCTGTGCTTTTGTAGAATACAGAAGGAAGGAGGGGCAGCTGTGGAAGGGCTAATGGCCAAAGAGATTATCTTTGGAGGCACTTACGAGAGTCTAAGTGGCACAAAATCGGGATAAATTATGGTGTTACACTACTTTACACATTAATTCAACAAATACAAATATGTGCCACATGCTGCATGGGAAACGGTGAACCAAAGGCTGGGCTTTAAAAGGAGGCAAACATGTCAGGATAAGTAATGCAATCTGCTAAGCACAGTAACTAACTTGGATCTGAGGGGTCGGGCAGGGCTAGAGGGATGAAGACTGGCTTTGCAGGGTGAGTAATCACAGGTGGACAAGATAGAAGGGGTGTTCTTAGCAGAGGAAACACTAAATTGTAAATGTCTTTCATAGGAGATGGTGCCTCGTGAGCTAAATTCTGAAGGATGAGTAAGACTAGGTGGACAAGACAGGAAAGAACAATTCCGGCAGAGGAAGCAAAGCAAACTGCTAAGCTCCATTCCAGATTTCATAAGCTCCAGAAGGTCAGGGGGTATGTGCTGCTCAACTTGGTAATCCTGACTCTAGCATAAAGCATGGCCAAGGGTATGATATTGGAATGAATGATGGGTGAGTAAATCAATGGATGCATCTGGGAGGCAGGTATTCTCATTTTCAGTCCTCAGACTTTGGCACCGTGCCCCCAGATAGTGCCTGGGAATTTCCGTATTTTTCCAAACTCCCCTAACTTCTAGCATGAGGCATCCGTCATGCCTCTGTGACCAAGGGTAACATTTGGCAACAACTGCAGCTGCCCAAGACTCATCAGTTGGAAGTGGAGGAAGACACTGTTTTCTTAACTTTGAGCTCTGCTGGGAAATGGAGTGAACCTAAATACAGAGACAAAAACATTCCTGCAGGATAAATCAAGTTGTCCCTTTATAAAAACATGGACTAGGGGCTGTGGGTGTGAATGGTAAGCATATTAAACTCTCCCTTACAGAGTGGGCAATCTGCCTTTGAAGTTGCTCCTTAAGTATTGTTGATTGTAGCTGGATAAGGTTCGCTGTCCTTCTAGCTACACCGGTGACGTGAGTTCAAGAGCAAAGTGGCTAACACTCTCCAGACCCCTCATCCCTGAAGCTTTCTCCTGCTTGTGGGCACTAAAGGTTAAGCTAGCAAACTGTGGTTGTAAGGGCATGCAGGAATCTTACTTTCATGATGTCGGGTTTTTTAAAGTATAAAAATAAGACATATAAGTGGTAAATGCTTTTTCAGACAGAATAAAAGGATAGCATAATCAAGTAATATTAGTTACTGTTGAACTTAAGTGATAAGTAAATGGGAGGAAGGTCAATATATCAGTCTTTCCACCTTGTGTATGTTTGTAATTTTCCATAATAAAGCATTTAAAAAAGAGTTACCATTCCTCCTCATGATCTGTATTCCCTTAGACTCCCTATCCCACTCTCCAGTTAGATATGATAGTGATTCCTTCTATATTCTTCCCCAAATTTTCTGACCATTTACAAGCTCACTTATGCATATACGGAGCCCATACTTTTTGTAAATAGTATTTTACAAAGTATATTATTCTGTACCTTATACGGAGCCCATACTTTTTGTAAATAGTATTTTACAAAGTATATTATTCTGTACCTTGAGGTTTTCCTTCTTCACAATATAATGAGATTTTCCATGGCAGAATATGTAGTTCTACTTCATTCCTTTAATGGCTGTTTAGTATTCCATCAGAAGTAGATAACAGTCTGTAGTATTAACTTTTATTTACATCTTTGCAAATATAATAGGTGAAGAAGTATTTCATTAACTCTAAGTGAGGTTCAGTCTTTTTTTCATATGTTTATTGGTCATTCACATTTCTTTTTTTGTTAATTGCCCATTTGGGTCTTTTGCTCATTTCTCTTTTAGGGATTTTTGGGGGATTTTTTTCCTTTCTTTTTGTAATATGTCTCTAATAACAAGGCAATTTTTCTTTTGTCTGATGTGTGTTGCAGATATGTGGGGTGCAGTATAGTGGTGTGGTTGAGAGTGACCCTCTAGAGCCAGAGGACCAGCTGCCTGAATACTTGTAACTATGTCTTGGTTTCAACTGTGACAATATGGCCATCCTACTCCATTGAAATATACTATTGGTAGATAATGTAATAAGATTTGTCATAATTGAGACCAAGAACACCAGAGGGGAAAAACTTTTCTGAGCCCGCAAAGAATTATAAACCTTCCTACAAGCCTTTCCCGAGAGCTTCCACAGATGGATCCAGAACACAGTGACTGCTGTCAGAGGCTGAAGACTTCCCATTTTGCAGACTGATGGCTCATTTGGAAGTGCAATCCCTCCAGGAGGCCCTGACTACTGAACCACCCCCACCTCCCACCACTTCCTTGTCTTCTCTCCTCACCCACTTACTTACCTGCTCCCCCACCAGGAGATCAACTTCTTGGTACACTCTCAGCCAGGGAAACTCACCAAGCACCGTAGAAACAACCTTGTTATCCTTGATCCCCACCCCAAGACATAAGCCCAACTGGTATCCCATTCTCTTCCTTCTCAACCCAATCCCCATTCCTCACCTCCCTTCCAGATCTTCCCTCTGAGCCCTCTGTAACTCCCATCCCATGATTCAGCCCCCTACAGCCTGGACCTCTTCATTGAGCCTTCCCTCCTTGACTTGATTGAAACCTGGCTCTGCCAGAAACACTCAGCAGCTCTGTCTCAAGCGAAAGTTGCTCTCTTTCCCACATTCCATATAAAACCTTTGAATCAAAAGGTTAGATCATGATCTTCTTTACTCCCTGCTTCTGCTTCCAGGCCATTTCTCCCTTACCACTTGTGAAATTTTTTCCTATTTCTTGCCACTAAACTTACAAATTTACCTACAGTTTGACCTTTTCTTTCAATCCTCTTTTCCTCCCATTTCAATATTCCTGCCTGTCCAGGGTTAACCTCTCCACCTGTTCTCTTGATCTTATTCCCCTCCCACCACATGAAGGAACTTATCCTACTGGTTTTTCTCCCCGTCTTGTACCTTCAACCTCTACTTCTCCATGGATGACCCCTTCCCATCAGTACAGTTGGCAGAACAATATGAGTGGACCCAGTGGGTAATGGTTAACAGCACAGACTCCGGAGCCAGGTAGCCTAGTGACAGATGCTGACACCACTCTTTCCCAGCTGCATGGCTATAAGCTACTTTTTTATCTGTAAAATGGAGACAATAAGAATACCTCTCCTTATGCAGATTAAATCAGTGAACACGTGCAAAGCTTTTAGAACAGTAGCAGCCCATTCACAGGTATTATGCAAGCATTTGTTAAGTAATTCAGCATTTTAAGATGTCTCTCCCTTTACACATGAATCAAACACTCAAACAATACGCTCTTCCTAGTTCCCCGTGTCTTCTGCACCCACCACCCTATTGTCTTTCCTTCCCTGGACCAGCCAGCTGTACTTTTTGAGTCTCCTACATTTATTTCACCACTTTGTCACTTTATGTTTATAACCCAACTTCCAGTTGACCTCCTGCAATTGGAATTCACTAAATCCGATCTTACCAAGGGCACGACTTGCAACCTCCTACTTGAATCCATAGTCACTTTTTAGTCTTCATTCACTTATCATAACTGTTTAGTGTCACCAATTATTCCCTCCTTTAAAGGCTCGCTAGAGCTAGAAGACTAGCTCCATGCCACCATCTCTTCTATTTCTCAACCCAGCAATACAGCCACTCCTCTTACTCCCTTTTATGTTCCTTTTGTTGGCAAAATCCCTTAAACAGGAGTGTACTTAGGCTTCTCTTCTAGGTTCTTCCTGTGATCTCAGGCTTGCCATCTATATGCAGTTGCTTTTCAAATCTCTGTATCTATCCAGCCAGTTGCCTCTTGGAGATCAGCACTTGGATGAGGCACTAAACTCAGTAAGTTCAAATGTGTACATTAGTGTGCCTCCTTCCAAACATTTCCTACTGTCTGAATTCCTGCTCTTAGAGAATGGTGCCAGCATCCATCCTGTTGCCCAAGTTTGCAACCCAGACTCACTTATTGGATGTGCCCCCTACCTAAGTCTCCACAGCTTACTAATCATCTATTGGCTCTAATATCTTCTCAATCGAATTTCTTGTCCAACAACCGCCACTATCTTCACTACATTTATTTTAATTTCTGGCCTAGATCACTGTCTCCAGACTTGCCCTGTCTCCTCCTCACTAAAGCCAGAGTGATCCTTCTAAAACTGATTAGATTCCCTGTCTCCCTGGCTGAAAGCATGTTAATGACTATCCATTGCCCCAGAGTCTATCCAAATTCTTAACCCAGTAACTAGGGTATCTTGGAGGTCACTTGCACCTGCCACAGAGGTGATTTTTAAAAATTGAGGAATTTTGTGAGCCAGTTGTTAAATTGCTGGTGGCTGAAATTCGTACCACAGAAATCAGCAGATACCCCCGGTGCTAGTTAACTAGTATTCTTCATCTACCCAGCCTCACCTCTTAACGCTCCCCTGCTGGAATTCTGCTGTTCAGCCAGACTGAACTACTGTCAATCGTCTCTCACTTCTGCACCCTTATACCACCACTTTCTCTGGGGGGAATCTTCTCCGCTCTCTCCTGGCTGTTTCCCAGTCATCATTTAGGTCTTACATGAGCAGCCACCTCCTCAAAGAGGACTTTTCTGAGGCTCTGCCCTCAAGTTGACCAATGCAACCCTTCTATGTACTCTCACAACATCGTGTGCTACATTAGCCTCTGTCTACATCTGTGACTACTTACAAATTGAGGGCTTGCTACTTTCTACACAATCCTCACAGCAATCATATGAGATGGTTATTATCTTAGATGAAGACACTTAGGCTAAGATCAGTTGTCGTTTGTGCACAGTAACACACCATTTATCAAATGCCTGGTACTTATCTTAGTACATAACACTTACCCATTCATTTGTCTGAATCACTCACTAGCCTGTAAGCTCCATGAGGGTAGGGTCTGCCTTTTATACCCAATACTGGCACTTGGTAGATGTTCAACATATGTAGATATTAAATAAATTAATTGTAAAATACCAAAATAACTGCTTGCTATATTCTTATTTTTATTTCCAATTTTTATTTTAAGTTTAGGAATACACGTGCAGGATGTGCAGGTTTGTTACGTAGGTAAATAGGTGCCATGATGGTTTACTGCACAGATCATCCCATCACCCAATTATTAAGCCCAGCATCCATTAACTATTCTTCCTGATCCTCTCCCCTTTCACCCCCCAAGGGAGGGCCCTCCAGTAGGCTCCAGTGTGTGTTGTTCTCTGCCATGTATCCATGTGTTCTCATCATTAGCTCCCACTTATAAGTGAGAACATGTCATATTTGGTTTTCTCTTCCTGTGTTAGTTTGCTAAGGATAATGGCCTCCAGCTCCATCCATGTCCCTGCAAAGGACATGATGTTGTTCCTTTTTCTGGCTGCTAATAGTATTCCATGGTGTATATGTATCACATTCTCTGTGTCCAGCCTGTCATTGATGAACATTTAAGTTGATTCCATGTATTTGCTGTTGTGAATGATGCTGCAGTGAACATACATGTACATGTGTCTTTATAATAGAATGATTTATATTCCTT